TTTGTTAAATAGACTATTTCTTCCCTGTTGAATGGACTTTGACCTTTTTTGATAATTAGCTACTTGCAGATAGATGGCTTTGCTTCTGGGTTCTGAATTCTCTTCCATTGTTCTATGGGGCTGTCACTGAACCAGTACCAGGCTGTTTTGATTATGTGGCTGTGTAGTAAGTTTTGAGATCAGGAAATGTGAGGCCTCATACTCTCTTTTTCTCCTTCAATATTACTTTAGCTAGGTCCGACTCAATAGTAAATAACAACAACAAAAATTCAGGATCTTTTCCTTTCCAAATAAAGTTGGAGATTATTTTCTCCAATTCATTTAAGAATGTTGTTGGGATTTGGGTTGATATTGCATTATATCTCTAAATCACTTTTGGTAGTATTGACATGTTCATGATGTTAAGTCTTCCAATCCCTGAGCATGGAATATTTTTCCATCTATGTAGATGTCTTTTAGTTTCTTACAGTAGCGTTTTATAGTTTTCCTTGCATAAGTCTTTTATGTCCCTGGTTAGGTTTATTCCCAGGTATTTTATCCATTTGAAGGCTATTGTAAATGGTATTGACTTCTTCATTTCCTTTTCAGAGTCCTAGTTAGTGCAGAGAAACTTAACTGATTTTTGTATGCTGATCTTATACTCTGTTACTTTGTTGAATTCAGTAACTTTGTGTCTATTAGTTCCAATAACTTTTTTGAGGAGTGTCTAGGATTTTCTATGTATAGGATCATATCATTGCAAATAAGGACAGTTTTACTTCTTCCTTTCTAATTTGGATACTCTTTATTTCCTTTTCTTTATCTTCTTGCTCTAAGAGCTAGGACTTCCAGTACAATATAGAATAAGAGTGGTGATAAAGGGCATCCTTATATTGTTCCTATTTTCAAAGGGGATGCTCTCAGTCTTTCTCTGTTGAGGGTAATGTTGGCTATGGGTTTTGCATATATTCCCTTGATTATGTTGAGGATTTTCTCTTCTTATTTTGCTGAGAGTTTTTATCAGGAAATGGAGTTGGTTTTATCAAATGTTTTTTTCTGCATTGACTGAGATAATCATGTGATTTTTTTCCTTTGTTTATGTTGTTAATTGCCTTGATTTTCTAATATTGAACTATCCTTGCATCCCTAGTATGAATCCCACTTGATCATGATATACTATTTTTTGATATGCTGTTGAATTCTATTGGCTAGAATTTTGTTGAGAATTTTTGTGTCTATATTCATGAGTGATATTGGTCTGTCATGTTCTTTTTTAATGATGTCTTTGCCTAGCTTTGAAATCAGGATTATACTGGCTTCATAGAATCAATTAGGAGTATTCCTTCCTTCTCTAAATTCTAGAATAGTTTGATTTAAATTAGTGTCAACTCATCTATAAATGTTTAGTAGAATTCTACAGAGAAACCATCTGGGCTAGGGCCCTTTTTGGTTGGGAGATTTTCTTTTTTTTTAATGATTTCTTTTGTTATGGGTCTGCTGAAATTTTCTACTTCTATATTTGTTTTAGTTTAGGTAGATAGTGTGTTTTCAGAAATGTGTCCATTTTCTAGGTTTTTAAATTTTTTGCAGTACAATTTTTCATAATATTCTATTATGATCCTTTTTATGTCAATTGGTTTTATTGTAACATCATCCATCTCATTTCTTATTTTAGTTATTTGCATCTCAATGTTAGCTATAATTTTCCAAGTGTTCTTAATACCCAGGGAAAAAGAGGAGCACAGATAAAGTGTAAATGAATGTAAATCCTCTCTAAGGGAAAGCCACAGCCACCATAGAGGTGGTCTTCTGTCTCACCATTCATGATAGAATAACACAACACTCCTTGGTGGCAGAGGGAGAAACTCCTCTACTCAGGCGTAGGTTCTGCTTTATTCAGAGAAGCCCCACAACTTTCCAAGGCTCCTTAGAGGCCACATCTTCAGGGCTGCACATTCCAGAGGTGTAAGAGCAGGCATTGGGGTGATAGCCTCAGGAGTAATGGCCCATCATGCCTTGGGCTATGCCTAAAGTGCACCCAGAACACAAGAGAATCTACCTCCCATCACAGCTTCCCTCTGCCAGAAAATATACTCCCAACCATACCCCTGCATCCATTACTTTAGAAATCTCTTGCTCCAGCCAAAGTGGCTGCCTCCTGCCTTCAAATATTTCCTCCTCTCTTCTACAGACACACACTCACTCTCATTTCCAATGGCCTCTCAATTTCTGAAATTCCACCCCTCCTCTGACTTGACTCCAATGAAGACCTTTAGCCCCTACCATCTCATATTAATGTTGCTAATATCACAAGCTGCCTTGAATCATTATTTAGTGATCCTACACTATCCCTCAGCTGGACGTAAGCTGTCCAAAGACAAACACTATACATTATATGATTTGTATCAACTGTAGCAAAGAAAAGCCCAAAACACAAATGCAAAGCATAATAGATTTAATTTTTGTCTCATTGATTGTCTTTAGGTCTCCCCTAATTTCATTAGGCTTTGGAATCAAGATGTCTTTCTTATAGTAGACCTAATTCATAATAAGCCCCTTCTAAATAAACAAGATATTGTTGCTCATTCTACTTTACTGCATATAATGCTTTATTTAATAGACTTCTGAGTAACTCCAAACACTAAGCCATGGCTTATCAATGAAAAATCTTGACTCAGTGGATCATGGGCATACATGTTGTTTGCTTCATCATGTCAGTGTTTTCTAGAAAGAAAGATTTAAAATACTGCCTGCCAGAGATTTTTCTTTACACTGAAATGTCACAAATGAGTAAATCAAATGAACTCAGAACCGTCTGAGCACCCATTAGTTTGGGAATTGTGTCTTTATTATTTTGGGTGCATTGGATTTGTTAATTCCTGACTATTCCAAGGTTGTCCTTCCTATTTAGGCCAAGGGAGGGAGGGACAATTTCCTCTCCTGAAACTACAATGATGAAAGTATAGCATCAAAGATTCTAGTTGATTCTTCCTGGATGGTTTTCTTTTTAATAACTTCTTTATGCCTTGACTATGTAGAGGACCAAAGCCCAGGATATAGTTTCCAGCCCTGGAATTGGTGTAAATTAGTAGTCACAGGTCAGTGGACCAAGCTCAGAAGGTTTGCTTTGCTCCAGCCTCTCTGTAGCACTGCATAGGCTCTCCAGTAACCATGACAGCACCCCTTCCTGTTCATTGTATACTAAAAGATTTATGCATTGTTTATGCTATCCATTATTATTAAGGGACCGTTTTGGAAAATGGCAGCCTGCACAGAAAAAACAGGCAAAGGATATCCATGTCTTTTTTGCTTTAGAACTCAAGTCAACAAACTTTTTCTATAAAGGGCTAGATAGTAAATATTTCAGGCTTTTGCAAGCCACATGATCTCTGTCACTACTACTCACCTCTACTGCTGCACCATGAAAGCAGCCACAGACAATATGTAAATTAGTCAGATGTCTGTGTTCCAATAAACATATGGATGTTAAAATTTGAATTTCATGTATTTTCATGTGTCACAAAATGTTACTCTTCTTTTGCTGTTTTCTTTCTTTTCTCTCGATTATTTAAAATTATAAGAAGTTCACAGTTGTACAAAAACAGATGGTGGACTAGATTCGGCCCATTGGCCATAATTTGGTAACTCCTGCTTTAGAAGATTAGATAAGGGTTTCCTTAAAGGTTTTCATTGCTGTTGAGCATATGTACTTTCCATGTTTACCTTAGAATCATCTCATATATGCCTGAGCAGATCATCACTTCCTGTAGGCAGGTCTTCACCGGGTTTGCTTGTCTCAACCATTGGCAGAGAAAGCACACTGTATGGTCTTTCAGAGGAGATGTATTAACAAGATCTGTGATGGTGATTATTTTCTTCTAGGGATAGGGTGGTCAGCTACACACTTGGCCGCAGACTTCCAACAGATCATGTGAGTGGACAGCTGCAATTCCGATTTGAGATCACGTCCTCCATTCACCCAGGTATTTTCAGCATGAACTTCATGTCTTGTCCTATGCTGGCAGCGTAGTATGGTCCTTTCTCTAAAATACAATAACCATGATTCTTTCCAGAAATATCCTAGGTTTTGTGGTTCCCTATCTTCTCCATTTGAGGCACAGAAGCCAGTGATCTGTTCTGGAAGCCAGGTTGCTGTCCCCTTGGTTGAGAGGCTCCTCTTCATTGTGATGACCCAAAGGCAGAGGGCTAGACAGTAGAGTGGGGGTTGACAATGAGGCCACTATGGGTATGGACCCCTAATTTATCATTTTATTCCCAGCACCCATCATAGTACCTGGCACAAAGGAGGTGTTTAGTAGATGTGTAATCATTACATACATGAATGAATGAGAAACCCATCTTCTTATCTAGTAATAATGTATAGACTAACCAGTACATGGAGCATGTCATATTGTTGAAGAACTATAATTGTGTGATGGATTCTTCCAATATCAGAGGGAAAATGAAAAAGTATAATTTGGACAGAAAATTTCACAATCATCCACTGTTCAGTTTTTCAGCCAAAATATATTTCCAAATAAGAGTGATGAGATTAGTCACAGGGGACATCAAGCTCAATTGGCATAACATACTACACTAAACATTATTCCACCTCCTACTTTGGCGAGTAGCGACTGGGATCTTCAAAGCTTGCAAGCAACCATCTAGATGCAACGATGGGTCTCTCCTCGTCCAGAGCAAAGAAGAAAGAAGAAAACCAAAATGGAAACAATTAGTCCTAATGACTGTTACCATGTGATCTACAACCTATACGACTATGAGACCAGAAGAACTTGATGGTGCCCAACTACCACTGTCAACCACTCAGTGGGGGATCCATGTAGGAGATCCTGGATAGAGAGGGAGAACAATGTGGAACAAAACTCAAAATCATTTGGAAGAAAAAAGGAGGGGGACCAGGTTTGCTGATCTGATAGAGCCTGGTGGAACCACTGAGACTATGGCCTCTAGCTGCCCTTCAGGTCTGGAATTGAACCCACACCTGTGGCTTCCAGCCAAACAAAAGACAGACATATGAGTTGAAGATTTACCTGAGGTAGTTACACTCCTTGAAGAAAACAATCATGGAAGAAGGAAGGGCTGTTCATGCACAGGGAGACAGCTCAGGGGGCAGGAGTTTATGGAGGGATGGACACAGGAAAGAGGTAACTATCAGGAGGAAGTTGTATTGTGGTAAATTGCAGTCAATGTCATGAGACAAATTGTATGTGAACTGCTGTATGGAAAGTGAATTTGCTCTGTAAATTTTCACACAAATCACAATTTAAAAAAAAAAAAAAGTGATGAGATGCCTCATGATTTCACTTTGGCTCCTCTTCCTCAACCTCCATACTAAGTGTAGATCATCCTGAGATTGTTAGGTCCTCCTGGGCACTATTTATGAGTTACTGTTAAAGCTAATGAAGCTTTTGTAAAATCAAAACCTGGAGTGCATCACTACCCACCCACTAAACCTAGCTGCACTTTTCTATGCCCAGTATACAACTCAGATTGTAAGAAAACAGCCTGAGAGTTTTATACTTTCAAATTCAGCCTTTCCTACATTCTCAGAATAAAACCAACTCTGCACTGTAGCAGAAAGGTCCCCAGAAAGATTGTTTTTGTTCCATTAGTAAATTGCACCACTGCATTTGAGATAAGGAAGTACACATCTGGCAGGGATCCAACAGAGCAATTGGAAGACGACAGAGTTAAAAAGTGATGGACTATTTCTTGGTGTGTAGATCTTGTTTATTTTTCCATTACAGTAATCTCCAAATGTTAAAAGACTCACAGCCTGTATTATTCAACAACAGGTTGCTCCCACCCATCATCCAGCACTTTTCTTCTCTCTAGTTGCCTAAGAACTTGGTTTACCCTACCCTGTGAGAGGCAGCCATGGGAAATACTCTGAGAAGGTATAATTAGCCTTGCCAGGGATCATCAAAGAATTATAAATACCTCATTGCCATCTCTGAAAGTCAATCTCTTTTGCAAATATTTGTCAAGCACCTACTATGTGCCAAGCCCTGGGGTAGCTGCTAGGTTTTGGACATTTTGACAAAAGGAATTGTTAATTCTGAGATATTTCTAGGACTGCAAATTATCCTTAATACAATAAGTAATTCCTATGGAATTTTTCAGCAAAACTCTAGCCCAATGACAAGTCCTCATCAACCCCTTTATGCAATACCTTACGGTAGAAATCCCTTGCCTATAATTTACATGGTGCTCTGGTAGCATAGTGGGTAAGGCACTTGACTGCTAATGGGTAGGTCAGCTGTTCAAACCCACCAGCTGCTCCATGGAAGGAAGACTGAGTGATCTACTTCCATAAAGATTTACAGCCTCAGAAACCCAATGGGGGTCGCTATGAGTCAGAAATGATGACTTACATGTTCAGTAGCCTATACTAAAATCACAGTGCTCTTTTCTGGAAGGAATGACATGTTTTGTCTGTTTGTTTTCTTGCCAGCAGATGATGAGGAGATTTCCCTGAGTACTGAGCCTGAGTCAGCTGAAATGCAGGACAACCCCATGAACAACCTGGTGGAAAGCAGTCGTCTAGAGCCTATGTATGATGTTGGAGGGCCTTCAGAGAGCACTCAGCCAGAGCCACTGAGCAGTTCAGGGAACGAAAGGCTGGAGCTGGCTAAGCCTCTGGAAGAAGAAACAGGCACCGCGGCAGAAGACAATGGCATGATATTTGAGGGACCTGAAGGGGATGGGGAGCTTCTGGCCCCAGGGCAAGAGGACCCCCAGTCCACCATTAGTGCGGAAGAACTGGCAGAGGGGTTGGACCTGGATGAAGAGGTACCATCCCCACTGCTGCTGCAGGCTGGTGGAGCCCCAGCCAGCACTGAGGAACCCATGGCAGAGGAGGCCCCAACAGAGAACCTGGAGGGGAAGGAGCAGGAGGAAGAAAAGGAGCAGGAGCAGGAGGAGGGGGAGGAGATGTCTACCCTGGACCACGGAGAAGGCATGATGCAGATAAGGGCCTCAGTGAAGAGAAAAAGCAGACCCTGCTCCTTGCCAGTGTCCGAGCTGGAGACCGTCATCGCCTCGGCTTGCGGAGACCCTGAGACTCCGCGGACTCACTACATTCGCATTCACACCCTGCTGCACAGTATGCCCTCTGCGCAGAGCGGCCATACCGGAGAGGAGGAGGACGGGGCCGAGGAGGAGTCCACTCTCAGGGACTCCTCAGAGAAGGACGGGCTCAGTGAGGTGGACACGGTCGCTGCGGACCTGCCTCCACTGGAAGAGGATAGGGAAGTACCCGAGGGGGCGACTCCAGCCCTGGCGTCACACAGCCACTCCGGGGACCTGTTCCCCAACATGGCCAACGGCCAGGTGCTGGACGGCGAGCTGAACCCGAGCACTGGGAGTGAAAGCGACTCCAGTCCGCGGCAGGGGGGAGACCACAGTTGCGAGGGCTGCGACGCGTCCTGCTGCAGCCCCTCATGCTACAGCTCCTCGTGCTACAGCACTTCCTGCTACAGCAGTTCCTGCTACAGCGCCTCCTGCTACAGCCCCTCCTGCTACAACAGCGGCAACAGATTCGCCAGCCACACCCGCTTCTCCTCCGTGGACAGCGCCAAGATCTCCGAGAGTACGGTCTTCTCCTCTCAGGATGATGAGGAGGAAGAGAATAGCGCGTTCGAGTCCGTGCCGGACTCGGTGCAGAGCCCTGAGCTGGACCCGGAGGCCACCAATGGCCCCGAGCAGTGGTCAGACGAGCTGGCCGGCCCTGGCGTGAGCGCGGCGAGAACCGCCGACGGGCTGGATTCCCCGGTGGCAGGGCCAAGCAATCGGAGAGAAGGTTAGACCTCAAAGCTGATCAGTGAGCACAGAGCCACCAGGGGGACACAGGTCTCACCATCGTGATTAAAGCACTACGAAGGGGTGAGATCAATCTGAATCAGGGTTACTGGGCCAGTGTGTGCCTGTCTTGTACGTACACGTGTGCATGTGTATATGTGTATATATGTATAGTTGAATATAGATAGCTGACACCCCTTCAGTTTCCATATATACCCCAATTATTACAACCAGTTGAATGTGCGTGTGCACTTGTATGTGTGCTTTTCTGATTGTTTTAACTAGTCACCAGAACTGGTTAGTGTACATATTACCCTTTTAGTCTTGACAGAATTCAGAGTGCCCAACCTAGCATCCATTGATGAAGGGAAAGAAAAGTCTATCATCAACATTAGATGGATAATGTTTAAACAGAACTGCTGACTCCCCACAACACTTTGGAGATGAGCAATAAATGTTAGCATCAGTTGAAGAATGCTGATATTACATCTGTTTCAGGATTTAACTAGCCCATGTATATATGGAGACATATTGCCTTACATATATTTGTCATGGTTTCTGTCTGCTTTCCTTATTGGGTGTTTTTATTTGTTGTTTGTTTTTGTTTTGTTTTGTTTTCTGCTAATGGAAGGGAAGAATATCATGAGTGCATAAATCACTTTGCTTCAAATAAGATTCTATTCCAAAAGTGCCAGCTTTAGTTTAAAATGTGTTCTGTAATTTAACCAAAGACTTTGTTTCTTAGTCATGCCTGTGGAATCATATAATAAATTGATTTGTATTTCTTTAACCAGGGTTGGGAACCATTTTCCAGTCAAGTGACAGTGGCAGAGGGGGATAAAAGTAAATTGAAAAGCCGCATAATTTCAAGAAATAATTCAGATGTTTTCAAAGAGAAAATACAGTCTCTGTTCTTTTGCTGTTCTACTGTGTAATTTTGCATCCAAACAAAACGTGATGGTGTTGTTTTAGATTGTAAGCTCATCAAGGGCCAGAAGTGTGTCTTTTTTTCTTTTTTTTTTAATGTTTGAATTCCCAGAGCTAAGCAAATGCCTGGTACCTACAAACTTTTTAAACAAGAACTAAAGTGGATGTAAAAAAAAAAATTTAAATATTTCACTATGATCAATGCAACATTTTAGAGAAATGAGTGAGGGAGGGTGACACATATGGGGAGGAGAAGCACAAGAAGTTGGTCAAGAAGGAGAAACACAGGAGGAAAGATTAAAACAGTGGTGATGTATAATATAGATGGACACCCAGGAGGAGAGAGAATAGGGTGGAAAATTCCTTTATTTAAGGATGTTTGAAGTACCTTCCTTGTTTTAGGCCAGATGCTTTGTGCCAGGCATCGGTATTGGATATTGTATGGATGGTACTCAATAAAGCTAGAACTCCTGTGATACCCTGTCTTCGAGGGGTTCCCACTGGCTAGACAGCACAGACACAGACAAATAATTACAGTATCAGGAGATTTGATGATACATATGCAAAAGGGCATATATTGGACCTTACATGGATATTTTAGAGCAAAGAGTTAGAAAACTTTTTCTATAAAAGGTCAGATAGGCTTTGTGGCCAAGAGAGCAAATCAAGCAATGGTTCTCACCAAAAGGCTAATTGTTTTTTGTGGTTTATTTCTTTTTTTTTTTGGTTTTTTTACATTTTCTTCACTTGAGGGCACACACAGACAGACAGCACACCAATTGCTAGCTTGAAAACCCCTGTTTTAGAATGGGTGGTGTTTAGGCAGCCCTGGTGGTAGATTACACACACACGGTTAATCAAACATTTGCTCAGTCTACATTTATATTAAAATGTGTTTTACAAAACAAGACACAGTCTGTGCCCTTAAGGGGCTGACAGTACAGTAAGGGAGAGCATTCATGACAACAGAAAGAGCAGGAAAGAGTTTGAGGGCCATAGTGGAAGTATTTGCAGGGTATCCTTTCTAAGCAGATTTCTTAGTTCCTAAATTCTGCAGGCTGTAAATTCCGAAAAGGTTAAGATGTGCTTTTCTCTGGTAGTTACAATGGAAAATAAGAAGGTTCCTGGCAGATTGTTGAGCTCATTAAAGCCATACATCTGTTGGCACAGGACTTCACAATGAGTCTTACCTACCACAGTAGTGAGTTACTGAGCTCATGGGAACTGTGTTGTTGATTCATCCCTCACTCACCACTGGGCTTTCCTATAGTATATGTTCAAAGAAAGGGGGACTTTGACATAACTCCCTGATACATGCTAGTGTGGGTGCGTGCCCTTTTCCTCTGGAAGAATCACTGTGGTCCCCTTAATATGACTTCTTAGACTGTGAATTCTTTCACTATAGAAATTCCACTAGGTTAACCAAGATAGACTCATTGTACACATGCCCACATAGAAATGTGTCTGCAACAATTTAGGGAGTATGCATTCTTGACCTATTGTTTGCTTCTCTTTCCTCCATAAAACTTTCTCCTTTTTAACCTCAAAATAGTTTTTTTAAAAACCTTCTGCAGATCAAATGAAAAGAGCAGCATAATGATAATGTGATTATGAGCTTACTCCCATCCTTTCTAGCCACGATACTTTAGCCCAGTTACCTAACTTCTCTGTGCCTCAGTTCCCTTGTGTATAAAATGAGTACAATTGTATGACCTACCTCACAGGGTTATTGGAAAGATTAAATGAGGTGATAGGAGTAAAGCACTCTGCTTCTCACCTATTGAGTGCCCAAGCTCTGTTTGCTGTTGCACCTTTTTCTGGTAGGTTCTTCCAGGCAGATGAGCACTGAGGCTAACTTTGAAAGCTGTTCTATGTAAATCATCCAAAACAATCCTTTGGATTTACATTTTCTGCACTGTTATACAAGGAAAATAATCTCATTATTATTAGGCATAAAGCACTTTGTTTGCTTCAAGAAAGATTCTAGCTGACCTGTTTCTCTGCAATGTGGTGATATTATGTATAAACAGAACATAATTTAAAAGAACCTCCCTTATTTGCAGCCTAAGAAATAAGTTTCCTTCTCAAATATTCTAGCAGGCCTGACCACTTGCTTTGTGTCTGTGGCACTGGGTTGTTGTGTGGGACAGTGCCTTTGTGCAGAACATAATTGCTTGCTCTCCAGTGCACTCATCTATTCAGCCGGCTGAGATGTGTCAGTCACGTCATTGCATTTGCTTGGGTTTCACAAGCAGGTGGGGTCCACTCCATTAACCCCAGACAAGCGACAATATTATGTTTCTGCTAGCTTGGAGGAGTAATTTACCTGATTGGTTGAATTAATTACAATGAGGTAAGTTTGGTTTAAAAAAAAAAGAAAGAAAGAAAGAAAAAACTAAACTAAAATGCAGCAGCTGGTGACATAACAACTGTACTGTACCATGTTTTGTTTCGTTTTGTTAAATTTCTGACACTAAACACATATAAAAACAAACAGAAGTGTGTTCTCCTCTTAAGAGACTATCCACAGTGAGCTGGGTGCTGGCGTTATAGGCACCTTCCTTAATTTTCATTAAGTTCTCAAAGGGTCCTGAGGATTCGAGTAACACACAAGAGTTTACACAACAATTTACCATTCCATTTGCCAGTCAGAACTAGGAATTAAATAGCTAAATTAAACCCACCTAGCTTCCTTCCTTATTAATTTATTTTTAATCAGTTCTACCATTATGCAGTAAGAAGAAATCATCATCCTTTCCACATCTAGATATTTCAGAAAAATTCTGAATGTTAGGTCCTACAAAAATCTAAACCACTGGTTTTCACAGTTTCACTCATTTTTGATCCAAAGGATAATGGACATGGAAGAATGGGGAAGGGAGAAGGTCTGACTTTTATTAAGTGACCAATAGGGGCTATTACAAGGAAATCAGAATCATGTGAGGCTAGGAGGAAACCAGTCTGGATGGAGCCTGCCTCATGGTCTAAGTCCTCTAAGCACTCCAAAGAAGAAGAGCAGTTGTCTTTGATTATGCGATCCAAACAGCTGAGGCATTGCCATACATCCATGTGGCTCCCCTATCCACAGTGTTTCATACTAGGACCTGATGACATCAAGAAATAGGAACACCCTTTAAAACATTGTTCAGTTCATTATAAATCTTAACTGAGACTGCATAGGACCAATAACATTTCATTCTGTTATACATAAAGTAGCTATGAGTTGGAGTCAACTTGACGGCAGTTAACAATAACATCAATATAACAGTTTGAGGCATATGTTCTGTAAGTATAATATTCATTTCTAAAATGTCCTCATGTCTATCTTTCTTCCTTCTTCTATCCCAATTCTGTGTTTCCAAGTGTTCCTGTCTCAGTCTTCCTGGCTTTATCTCTTTTGTCCTTTGTCTCTTGTCCTTTTTTCTTTCCAGATCACCTTGGCTTGTCTGATTCCTCTTCAAAATAATCTGGAGCTTTCACTCTAACCCATAGCACGTTGGCTTCCCACCCCACCCCTTAGCTTCTACATCACAGGAATTTGACATTCTTGACATATTGGCTCTTTAACTTCATCTTGGAAAAGCACTTTCTGAGAGTGTCATTAAAAATTAAATAAAAATCTGGAACACAGCCTCTTGGCTGCCCTCTGGTGAAACCTATCCAAATCAGGAGCTGTAATTACGTACAGTCCAACTGAGCTATTACAGGACCTTGTAAATGTTGCACTTCACTCAAATTGGCCTGGGTGCTTTGCTGGGCTCTGTCAAGCTCTGCTGGTTTTCTCTCATGTAGCTTTCTGATGCTACCTTAGAAAATCCAGATACTTACAAAACCAGATTCTTACCCTACATATTGGTCTGAGTTGTACAAGTCACTGGTCATAAAGCATTTACATTTTTCTTTGGATTTTTTTTTTTTTTTTAATAATCCTCTCTCTCATGAATGATAATAATGTAGCAAACTAACACAAAAAATAGATTGCCCACTCTTTGGGGGTTGTTTCTTGTAGTAGTTTGTTTTACAGTCATGCTTTTTTGATGACGTTGCCAGAGCAGTGAATGAATCTAAATATCTTGACTATCTTGTCCGTAGGTGAATATCCTATACTCCATAATTCCCAGCCAGTAAACCAGCTTCCTTCCTTGAGGCCTGAACATCATCACTACCCAACAATCGATGAGCCTCTTCCACCAAGTAAGCTTTAGTTTTTAAAGTCTATGCCTTAACTCTTCCTATCAAGTCTAAACAGGTCAGTATGAATTTGTATATAAACACCCAAACTCTTCCTCAACTCCATGCCTTACACTGTTACCAAAAAACGATATGACACCTACTATAAAAACTAACTTTTGGCTAATGGTTTCAGTGTGTAATGTTGAAGAGATAGCCCAGTGTCTACAGTACCTCTCAACTTCAGAAATGGAAAGCATTTCTTTGCAAGACTTGACTAGCCCTCGCAAACTGTTTATGACCCTTAAGTCCCAAATTTTACTATTTTATATTTGAAAGTTCACAGTTCAAAATAGAATAATTCTATTGTTCTCCATTAGATCTATTATGTCTCAACCATCTCCATATAATAAAACAACTTCAACCCATCAGGACACATGAATTTACATTTTTTCTTACTATAGCTTGAATCCATAGACAACATCCTGAAATTTCTTCTGTAGTTCTTAGAGGTTGCCAGAAAAAATATCATCTTTAGAAGTAGAAGTCAGTATCATTTTCTCCCTGTAACTATAGTGTATAATAAATATTTAGATAAATAGTCATCCAAACTTGGAAAATAATTTAATCTCTCAGGGACTCAGGTTTCTCATTTGTAAATAAAGTTTTAATTCTGCTCTTCTTCTAAATGCTAGGTTTGGACTAAGTAATCTGTAAATTTTCTCCCAGCTTCAATGTTCTAATTCTCCATGATAATAAATTTGTTAGGAGGAACTGATGCCCCAGATATTATACCTTCACTCAGCATCACGTACATTTATGAAATCTAGAATATCCTTGCTTTGGTTTACACTTACTTTTCAAGCACAGGTAATCTTTAAACTTTAATAGGTTTTACAACTGCAATCATTCAAGGATGCAAGGAACAACTACGTTCTTTTTCCTATGCTTACATTAAGCAGTCATAGTTTTCAAAAGGAGGAATGCTTATTTCTTAATTCACCTGGTCTCAGTAATATGACATATTTTGAATGAACACCACTCTTTCCCCTATTCAGTTGTAATCTAATCAGTGAGAAAACAATGAACATCTTTAATATATGGACTAAGCCTAAGGAACACCATATTTGATTTTTGAGGGCCAACCCCCCAACTTTGGAAAAGTGTCATTTTCAGATGTCTGTTTAGGCAAACTCGTGACATTGCCATGTTGAGTCCATTAGGAAATGATGAGACCTGCAGTTTCATTTGGAATTTTTTCTTTCAGTTTATAAAATATATGAAAGTAAATTATTTACAATGCAACCCAGAACATGTGATCTTAATCTCAGATTGTGTTAAGCTGTCATTTTCTGAATATTTATAAATATTTATAAATTTATATGAATTACTACTATCCTTTCTAGATATTTAATATATCGATAAAAGAGACTTTGTATCTGGTCAATATCCTTTTCCATGAGTGATTTGGAAATACTGAAACTTGTGGAGGGAAATTATCATTATCATTGCTCCACTTTCCAGCTTTTTATCCCCTAGAAAATTTATGAGGTTCAAGCTTTGTTTTTGAAGGAATTCATTCTTTATTGTTGACACTTAGAGGGCAGGGACACATCTTACCCAGCTCTGTATCCTCACGACTTGGCATAGTCCCTAATTCATAGTAAGTGCTTAACGGAGTTTGTTCAACCGAATAGCATGATCCTCTTCAAAGATTAACATTCATTCTTTGTTAGTGACAATTGTGGTGGAAATAAGAAAAAGAATTTTCCAATTGATCAATTGATTTTGCTAATAGGAGTCTGGGAACCTTTGAAATGTCAAAATTTTCAGATCAAGATCAATTACTTAGGTGTCCCTGGTGGTACAGATGATTAACATGCTTGGCTGCCAGACAAAAGTTTGGAAGTTTGAGTACACTCAGAAGTGCCTTGTAAGAATGGTCTGACAGACAGTTTCCAAAAAAGTCAGCTGTTAAAAACCCCATGGAGCACAATTGTATTCAACACACATGGCGTCTCCATGAGTCAGAATAGAGTCAACAACTATTTTAGGTTTATTAAAATCATGCGTATATTACACACATGCTTCATCACTGAGCTAACATTTACAGCTGACAGTTGACAGAAGTTCATTGTAATCAAACCCCAAAATATATTGATATAATCTGCACGTTTCTCTTTCAAATTATCTTAAAAGTTAAATTTGGTGTTTTCCTATATGTTAGTTTTTACTAGGCATTATTTGGCAATTTCTCAGGTAAATGTCCAACATAAGCCGTAATATTCACAAATGGGGAGATCTACTCTATACACATAAAACCACAACTATGCCAAGTACATTGAATTTTTTAGTTAAAAAAAAATGAGAGTTGCTATGTCATTACCTGAATGATAATTTTTCAACAGAGTTTTTAATATCTGACCTACTCCTAATAGCTATGGCTTTTCTCACTTAAAATGCTGGATTGTTTCCTTCCTTTTGCAGTCATTTTTGCTTTTTCTTTTTTAGATGAATGCATTTTTTTTTCAACATAACTTTATCATAATGCTGTTATTTTCACCACATTTTCACATGTAAACTCTAAAAGCTTTGCCCATTTCTATATAACAGACTTGCTCTTCTATTTTAAGTGCAGAAACATACATTACTTCCAGCTCTCTGTTTTGAAGGCTTTTCCATCCACACTACCCAGCCCTTACATGTATCATGTAGTGTATCATCTGTGCTTTCACCTTATTTATTTACTTAGTGTAATTTGAGAAGTAAAGGAACTTATCTTTATCTTGGGCTCCCTCTACTGTTTGGGATGATTACTGCCAGGAAAGATATTTAAAAGTTTGATATTTGTTAATAGTTACTGTTTTGTTTTGATCAAGAGATATTTGGCAGCAATAGATGGGTGAGTCCTTTGGAATATATGCTGTGAATTCATAGCTTATCAAAAAGATGACTTGAATCCCTTAGTATCAAATCCTTCCATTCACCCTCTCAATAGAAATGGAAATCAATTACAGTTCCTAAGTATTAGATAAGACTCTGGTGACACAGTGCATAATGCATTTGGCTGCTAACCAGAAGGTCAGTGGTTCAAACCCACCAGCCACTCTGTGGAAGGAAGATGAGGCAATCTACTTCCAAGACTTACAGCCTTGGAAACCCAATGGGAGTCGCTAGTGGTTTAAGTGTTAGATAGAGGTCATCTAAAGTTGCACATAAGGAGCCTTGGTGGTGTAACAATTAACTCTTAACTGCTAACCAAAAGATCAGTGGTTCGAACCCACCCAGAAATTCCATGGGAGCTAGACCTGGTGATCTGCTCCTGTAAAGATTATAGCCTAGAAATCTATATGGGACAGTTCTGTTCTGTCACATGGGGTCACTATGCACCAAAATTGACTGGACAGCACCTAGCAACAGCAAAGTTGCACATACAGTATTTTAGAACCATATGTTAAAACCCTTTAAATATGAGTACTGTTATTCTCTCCACAGAACCTAGTCCCCACTATTAGATTAAGCAAAGAAAGGATTCTTCAGCATCACAAGTGTCAGCTCCCAGTAGAGGACTTTTCCAGTCTTCCAGCTGTCACTCAAGTAGCCAACAAGATTGACAGTTAAGAAATAAATAAATTAAACATTAGGCTTTCTCTTTTGAAATGATAATAATTCTAATATAGATCTTATTTAAGGAATCACAATTGTTAAAAATTGGCCAACAGAGAATCTGACTTCAGTAAGCATTTTACTAGAGCGACTGATTTCACACCAGTACCTCAGAAGTCATAGCAGGTGCTTTGGCTGCAGTCTGACGGCATAACTAACCAAAGGGCATTAACAGGGGCCATCTACTCAGCCGTGGTTCTGGCTGAAGTGAGGCCCCATCTTCCCTCCCCCAGGATCAGAGGGATTAGTAGGTAAGTTCTACCTACAGAAGACCTGGGATGGTATCTGTTGCACATGGGTCAATAGTTTGTCCTTGATTTCTTTTCTTTTCTTTTTTTTTGCCTATTTATTCAAAACTAGACTGGGAAGCTCGAATTGACAGCCATGGACGGGTCTTTTATGTGGACCATGTGAACCGCACCACCACCTGGCAGCGTCCCACAGCAGCAGCCACACCCGATGGAATGAGGCGATCAGGGTCCATCCAGCAGATGGAGCAACTCAACAGGCGGTTGGTGATCAGTATGCAGTGGGCTCCTATGAACCACAGTGAAAAGGGAATGAAAATAAAGAAATTTCTTCTTACAGTCTCCTGCTCAGATTATATGAGGAGACATGAAAAGAATTAAGTACATTTAAAAACCTGTTCATTATAGGTACTTGCAAGGCTAGATTTAAATGTGGTTGCCAGAAGACAAGCTAAGCCTGAATGCCATCTAAAGATGAGAAGTCCTCTGTCCTTCCTGATGGTCTAGGCTCAAAAATATTCTTAACCAAGGGCTCCTGAGTCCCCCAGGGTATTCACCTATGGTGATAGTGTTCCAAGAACCCTCCAGGAATTGTATGCAAAATTCGATATGGAAGACAGGTCCATAGTCATCACAAGATTCTTAAAGATTAGATTCCAGAGCTTGAACAGTTAAGAACATTCCAAAAATAGGTTCTATAAGAATACTAAAAGCTGCTTGGTGGAAAAGCTGTCACAAATTACTGCCTGCCCTACAAGAATAATTGCTATATGCTCAAAAATGATAATTTTTAAAATGTTTCATCTTAGAAAAAGAAATGCTGGAAAACATATTTTGATAATTGCTTTATCTAAAAACCAAACCCTCACTAAGGAATTTGTAAAGAAATTATTTGTCTTTAAAGGGCAAACTGAACCCTAAACAGCTTCTCACAGGCTATCAGCTCTCAGAAAGCACCATCTCCCACATGTTGCTTCTTTAAGACCAAGATGGTAACTTTGAGACACTTTCAGTTGCTAGGAATGCAAACTGCAGACTTAACTTCAGTTGTAATTTTATGGACCTGTCGTCTTGTTTTTGTATCGAGTACTTATGAAGCTAAAGGAGTGGTTGAGAGGGACTAGGAAGAGAATAGAAAACTGAGTTTTTACTATACACCTATGATAACAAATGCCCTTTGAAACTTAACTGTATCAACTAGGCGGGGGGTGGGGGGACGGAAATATGAGCTTCTGGCTACTGTGGTATATGCTTTAGGTGAAAATCACCAGGGCATTTTTTATTGCTTGGGCATTTAGAAAATGTTTGCTTTCTTTTTCCTCCTCAGTAAACACTCGATTGCTAACTAAAATGTCTGCAGTTTGAACTGACCCAGTGGCTCCATGGGAGAAAAAGACCTTGTCAATCTGCTCCCATAAAGAATACAACCTTGGAAACCCTATGGAGCAGTTCTATTCTATTCTATAGGGTCTCTATGAGTTGACATACAATAACAAAAACAACACAGTACTTAAGTCACTCCTGAGAATCATAAAGAATTTTCATTGCCAATGTAGTTCTCTACAATCATTCCCCAGAAACTAGATATATTACAAGAAAAATGTGTAATGACCAGTTTATTAGATGTAAATGCACCAAAAATCCATGTTGTTGTTAGGTCCCGTCAAGTCGTCTCTGACTCACAGCGACCCAATGTACAACATAATGAAACACTGCCCAGTCATGTGCCATCCTCACAAATCTATGGGAGTCCTTTAATGGTGACTGCAACAAAGCTCCTCTAACTAATAATGCAGAGGACACGAGCAAGCTCATTTTTACAGAGACACTGTGTTGAAATTCTGTAGAGAAGAATTGGCCTTTAGGTCTGTCGTGCCAGAGCAGATAAGCTGAAATTGTTGAGCAGACTGAGGAATAGAGGAAAACATCATTAGGCTGCATCTACAAGAAGTGCTGTTTGAAAAATAAAATATAAAAAAAATTCTGGAGTGAAAGGAACACCTTGACCTAAGGCATGAAAATCAGTCCAGAAAAGTTCGTGGTATGTCACCTACCTCATGGTGATATAAAAATCATTCTTTAATATAAAAAATAAGGCCAATTCCATCTTGAACCCGGCCTCTAAAGAGATTTTGTAGCCTTTGATATGTAAAATTTTATCCCCACCAGTGGAGCTAAACACACTGGGAGAGGCAGTTAGACTTTGCTAAAGAGCAAGTTGCAATTGCTGCATCTATCTGGTCAGATAAAAAGAAAAGGAATTCAGTAATTTGAGAAAGAACTTATTTCTTGTAGAAAAGCCTATTAAGAAGGTCAGATAACCTCCAGATAAGTATCCAGGCTTTTCAATGCTTATCTTCATCTATTGCTTCCAAGAATTTAGTGTTTCAGTGATTTGATTTGGTAACTGCAGTCACAGAAAATAAAACTATTGTTGTTGTCAGGTGCCATTGAGTTAGTTCCAATTCATTGTGACCCTATGTACAGCAGAATGAAACACTTCCCAATACTGCACCATCATCACACAATCGTCCGCATGTTTGAGTCCATTGTTGCAGCCACTGTGTCAATCCATTCATTGAGGGTCTTCCTTTTTTTTTGCCAACCCTCTACTTTACCAACAGTGATGTCCTTCTCCAGGGACTGGTCCCTCCTGATAACATGTCCAAATTACATGAGACAGTCTCACCAACCTTGCTTCTAAGGAATATTTTGCCTGTACTTCTTCCACAACAGATTTGTTCATCCTTCTGGAAGTCCATGGTATATCCAGTATTCTTTGCCAACACCATAATTCAAAGCATAATTTCTTCTTTGGTCTTCATTATTCATTGTCCCTTTTGCATGCATATGAAGCAATTGAAAATACCATGGCCTGGGTCAGGCATACCTTAGTCCTCAAAGTGACATCTTTGCTTTTTAACTCTTAACGTGGTCTTTTGCAGCTGATTTACCCAATACAATGTTATTTGATTTCTTGACTTCTCTTTACATGCTATTGATTGTGGATCCAAGTAAAATGAAATCCCTGACAACTTCAGTCTTTTATCCATTTATCATGATGTTGCTTATTGGTCCAAGTATGAGGATTCTTGTTTTCTTTATGGTGGGATGTAATTCATACTGAAGGTTATAGTCTTTGATCTTCATTGGTAAATGCTTTAAGTCATCTTCACTTTCAGCAAGCAAAATTGTGTCATCTGCATATTGCAGGTTGTTAATGAGTCTTCCTCCAATCCTGATGTTGTGTTCCTCTTCATATAATCCAGCTTCTTAGACTATTTGCTCAGCATGCAGATTGAATAGGTATTGTGAAAAAGTATAATATGGATACACACCTTTCCTGATTTTAAACTACACAATATCCCCGTGTTCTATTCAAATGACTGCCTCTTGGTCTATGTACAGGTTCCTCATGAGCACAATTAAGTGTTCTGGAATCTCATTCTTCACAATGTTATCCATAATTTGTTATGCTCCACACAGTCAAATGCTTTTGCACAGAAAATAGGACAGAGGTAAATATCTTTCTAGCTCTGGTAGCATAGTGGCTAAGACACTTGCCTGCTAACCAGACGGCTAGCGGTTCAAACCCACCAGCCACTCCTTGGAAGGAAGGTTGGGCAATCCTACTTCCGTAGTGATACTGCCTCGGAAACCCAAGGAGGGGTCACTATGAGTCGGGTTTGACTCGACGGCACATAACAACAACAACAAAGTATTCTCTACTTTAAGCCAAGATCCATCTGACATCAATGATGATACCCCTCATTCCATATTCTCTTCTAAATCTGGCTTGAGTTTCCAACTGTTCTTGCCCATGTACCACTGCAACTGTTTTTGAATTATCTTCAGCATAATTTTATTTGCATGTAGTATTAATGATATTGTTTGATAATTGAATCACTTTTCGTTGGAAAGGGGACAAATATGGATCACTTTCACTCAGTTGGCTAGGTAACTGTCTTAAATTTTCTTGATGTAGACAAGTGAGTAATACTACCAGGTTTTTATCCTTCTCAGATGTGAATACACACAGGGTCATTGTTTTATTACCTGCCATTATCACAAGAAAGTTACAATAATCACTGTCTCACAGCAATACAGAAATAGTTCTCAGTGTTTCAAAAAGGAGTTTCTCTGACTTGTGACCAGGTGATTGTGAAGATCAAATATGTCTGTGCAAGAAGCACACTGACAATAGCAGAGTGCACAATAGCAGCACGTGAGTGATTGTGGAGGTCTGCAGTGACCAGGTTAAAACTCAGCCCCTCCCCAAACACAGCACACTCTGCCAGCCCTTTACTGGGTTGCAACAAACTCCAGTTGCACAGAAGCCCCTTATGCCTGTCTTCTATCTGGTACTTATGTCCTCATTCTACAAGGCCTATCCCAAACTCCACATGCTCTGTGAAACCTTTCCAAAGTTCTCCACAAATAGTAACTGAGTTCCTCCTCTGTAACCCTATAAGTGTTTGTACATAACTCCATCTTATACCACAAAGAGGGAGGGGGGTACTTTAAAGAATGGAAAATTATCATCTTACAGTTCTGGAGATTACAAGTGCAAATCAGGATAATGGCCATCTTGATTCCTCCCTTCTGAGGACTTTGAAAGAGAAACTGTTCCAGGCCTTTCTCCAAACTTCTGGGGATCATGTTCCTTATTTTGCAGCTGTGTTTGCCTCCATTATAAAATGACCATTCTTCCTCTGTGTTCTCTTCTTTTGTGACACCCTACTGAAATGTTATTAGGACCTGACCAAACCATCTCCAAAGACTTCATTTCCAAGCAAGGTCATATTCTTATCTTTTTGAGAGGCACCGTTCAGTCTGGTGGCACTGTGTTTAAAGCATTGGGCTGATAACCAAAAGTCTAGCAGTTTGAACCTACCAGCTTCTCCACTGTGAGAAAGACAAGGCAGTCTGCTTCTGTAAAGATTTACAACCTTGGAAGCCCTATGGGGCAGTTCTACCCTGTCCTATTGGGTCAACGAGTCAGAATCAACTCAATGACAGTGGGTTTGTTTTTTGGGTGTTTTTTTTTGGGGGGGGGAGTATTCAATCTATAACAACCTCTGTTATAGTTCTATGCATCCTTGTCATCTTCCCCCCAAAAAATAGGGTGTGATATTGTGTGCCAGAAGTTTAAATAAGACTCAGTACAGAACTGTTTCCTGAATTAATTTCTGTACTTTCAGGATGGCCTAAAATATTTATTCAGGAAGCAACAAATGTAATTGGTATTCTTATTTTAAGTAATCAAATAAAGTTAAATTTATTTCAACTTATTTGTTCCATCTTGACTGTGTGTGTTCAAAGGTAAATATCATATTCTAGTCTTTTCTTAGATCTGAAAGTCCAACAACAGGCATGTTGTTGTTGCTGTTAGTTGCCATCAAGTCAGCTTCCACTCGCAGCTACCTTATACAACAGAATGCAACATTGTCCGGTCCTATGCCACTGTCATGGACTTTAGTAGGCTGAGTCCATTGTTAAGGCTATCATGCCAACCCCACCTCATTGATGGTTTCCTTCATTTTTGTTGATTCTCTACTTTATCAAACAAGATATCCTTTCCTAGTGATTGGTCTTTCCTGATGATACATTCATAGTAAGTGAGCATCTACAGTCCTTACTTCTAAGGAGCATTCAGTTGTATTTCTCCTAAGACTGGTTTGTTTGTTCTTCTGGCAGTTCACAGCGTGTTCAGCACTCTTTGCCTACAGCACAATTCAGATGCATTTTTCTGTCCAGCTTTTTCATTCTTATGAGGCAATTGAAAAGACCATGGCTTGGGTCAGGTCTTAGTCATCAAAGTGACATCTTTGTTCTCTGGAACTTTAAAGCCATCTTTTGCAGCAGATTTTCCCAATGCAATCAAAAGAGTCTACATCGTTTGATTTGTGGACATTGATTATTGAGCTAAGTAAAATGAAATCATTGACAACTTCAATTTTTGCTTCATTTATCAGGCTGTTGTCTGTAGGGATTAGTAAACACTTAATAAATACTTGTCTGGGTGACTGGTTGGCTTCTTTTGCATAAGCTGAACATATTTATTTTTCTGCCAGAATGCTTTTCCACAATTTCTGCCCAACAGTATCAAATGCCTGTCAAAAATAAGTTAGTAAAACTATCATTCTAATTTGTAGTCTTGTAACAATAATGTAAAGGTAATTCGATGTCTTAGTTATAACATTTTAATATACTTTCCACACCATTATTTTATACTTAGCCTGATTTCATTTAATGCAAGGCACAGGTTGTTTTTATATGATTAGTTATTATTTGTGTTGATTTTTAGAATGTGATAATACTAAAACTACTCTAGAAAATAAAATATATTTTTTAAAAAATCAGATACTTAAAATCTATCCTTGCTTATAAAAGAAAAAGCAGTCAAATCTAGCAATGCTTTTCTAGCTAATTGTTTTGTCTACCTTGTGGGAAATTTTACACATTTTCTTCCTGATATTCAAGACAATTCTCAATTCTTTGCAGATTTTTCCATTTATCTGATTCAGAGAGTCAGCCCCAAATAAGTGAACAAGCTAAAGTTAACTCTTGACTTTCAATTTTCTGATGCAAAGGTATCAAAATATTCAGCGAACCATTGCAACAGAGAGACCGGAGGAAGATGCTGGAAGCCAAAGTTGTGAGCAAGTCCCAGCAGGAGGAGGCGGAGGTGGTGGAGGCGGTGGAAGTGACTCAGAGGCTGAATCTTCTCAGTCAAGCTTAGGTACTGGAAGAGGGGTTCCCAGAAACCTGGAATGGTACCCAAAGGCTATGTGGGAGAGCATTCATGTCCCTCACCCTACCTCATGGGATAGGCATGCACCCTGGAGTAAAGAGAGCAGTGGAATGGGCAGAGAATCAAGGTGAGAAGAGAGAAACGTGATCCTACCAGAGTAAAGCAAACAGAAGAGTGTCTCCCACCAGGACATTTAAAAGGAAAAGAGAATTCACAGAGAAGAGGAAGCTATCACCCTGGTATTAGGGATCTGGAGACAGGGCATGGATGAATTCAAGGGACTTGGGCTGGGTTTACTCCAGTGCTTGAGTATCAAGACAACGTTTTTCAGTGGCTTAAAAATTTCTTTCTAAACATATTTATTTGTTGGTTTCTTAAGGATTTTCTACTTCTAAATAAAACATACACTAAAAATTTACTCTCTATGTCTAAGGAACCACATGACAGTACTAGGGAATAATTACTTACTTGCTTTTAGAATAAAATATAATTCTCTCTGAGGGAATCTTGGAGTAAAGAGGGATTCCAGGGGCTTATGGCTATCCACATCATCTGAGAGCAATTTTTAGCCTAATACAGTAGGCATCCACCAGAGGCCTGGTTTTCATCTCTGGCTCTGTCATCAACTCAGATGAGGATATCACAATGGCATAGGAGACTTGCTTTGGATTTTTATGTCTGTAATGATGTAAATGATCACAATGACGTCCCAGTAATCCACTTTCTTTTAAATTGACTTCAATGATAGCAGACTTATTTGCAAAAAGAAGGCTTAGAAATACAATCTGAGAAAACATGCTCTGTGATTCTCATCTGACCAGGCCTCAGCTCTCTATGGTCATGGAGAATTTTGGACATGACTGTGTAGCTTTATTAAATACACATAAATATAAATTGTTCTACCAACAATTTTTTACTTCTATTCTTTTACCAGAACCAACTAACAACTCGTTTGAGCTTTACTGTTTAATTTCTTTGTTCTACCTTTGAGAAAGATGTAGTAAAATGGTCAAGTAATGAGGATCATGAAAAACAAGGAACAAAAAGTGTATTTCTATTGTATCCATTGATCTTTGCTATTTAATAAGCCACCTGACACTTGAGTGGGTTAAAATAATCATCATCTTTTTTTTTTTTTTATCCCTACCAAGGAATACTGGATGATGCAAAAGGTTATGCTTTCTGCTACTTAACCAAAAGGTTGGCAGATTAAATCCACTCAGACATGCCTCAGAAGAAAGACCTGGCAATCTACTTCCTAAAAATATAGTCATTGAAAATCCATAGTTCCGACATACATGAGATACTCATGAGTTAAAGTTGCCTCTATGGCAAATGTCTTGGGTTTTAGTTTATTTACACCACCATTCTTCAGATTGACAATTTGAGATGAGCTTGGCTGAGTGACTCCTCTGGACTCAGCTGGGCTTACACATTTGTCTTTGACCAGCTATTGAATTGGCTGTGGGCTGGCTGGTCCTTATAGCCTCTCATCTTCCAGCAGGCTAGTCCAAGCATATTTTCACAATGTTGACAGATTTCCAAGGAGAGGGTAGAACCACACAAACCTTTTGAGAACTAGGCTCAGAGCAGGCCTGTCATTACTTCTGCCACATTCTATTGGTTAAAGCAAGGCACGAGGCCAGTCCAATTCAAGAAAAGGAAAAACTGCAAAGTCACGTTGCAAATGGGTATGAATACAGGGAGGAGAAGAATTGCAGCCGTTAGTGCAAAGTATCTATCAGAGTTATGATTAGTTAGCAATTTGTCAAGAAAATAAGAAAACATCATTGAAATAAAGAGGAGTTGTTAAACGACTTGAGCCTAACTAAAGTTGTGCAAGAACATTTTTAGGAAATGATTGTTTCTATACAAAACCAAAACAACCAAACCCACTGATTGCCCAGTCATCCTTCCATGGAGTAGTTGGTGGGTTTGAACTGCCAACCTTCTGGCTAGGAGTCAAATGCCATAGGCACCACCAGAGTTCTTTATTCCTGTAACAGACATCCATAAAGTTATATGACACCTGGTTCTATAACTATTAAAAACCACAGTCTGTTTTGACATGTGAATGAAGACGTGTGCTGCTGGTGTGTGGAGAGCAGTCCTGAATTTGAAATGACTTTTTCCAATGTATCCTGTCACTTTGCTTCACTTTCTCCAGATCTGAGGAGAGAAGGGTCACTTTCTCCAGTGAACTCACAAAAAATCACCTTACTGCTACAGTCCCCAGCCGTCAAGTTCATCACCAACCCTGAGTTCTTCACTGTGCTGCATGCCAATTACGTGAGTGCTGCAAAGCGGAGGAAGCCTGGCCTTGTCATGACCCAAAACTCAGCTTTGCAAAGTCATCTGGTAGATCAGAGAGGTCAACAGTTTTGCTAGCCAAGAAATAAAAAAGAAAAGACAACTTAGTCCATTCATTTTATTATCTGTGACTCTCCTAAAAAAGAAAAGGGGCTGGATTTGGGATGCTCTTGTCTTATCCAATTTTTGCTAGGCTCAGATGAGTTAATGTGAAAAGACTTTGGAAACAAATATATGTTCTTTATATTGCTAAAATTTTTAAGGAACAAGATTATTAAAGGAATCAGCCAGATTCCTTTCAGTCTGAACCATTTGATAAAATCACTTCCATTCGGAAAATTTTTAAACAGATTTTTCCATTTAAACAATAACCAAGTTTCCTCTTAATATAATGTATTAAATATCATGCTTAAGTTAAATTTGATTTGATTTTACATATGTAGGGTTTTTTGGGTTTTTTTTTTTTTCATTTCATTCTTTGGGAATTTTCAAGAAAGCAATGACATGGTATTATGACATTCATTAATTCTTCCATTCGACAAATATTTTCTGCAGTTCAGGCACCACTCCAGGTGCTGTCATCACAAAGACAGATCAGAGTAGGAGCTCCTTGTTTTGTGAAGCAACAAACATGTAAAAAGATCAGTCTAACATGAAAGGACAGGGCTTCTGAACTGAGGTAGGAACAAAATATTACGGAAACATGAAGATGTAACACCCAAGGGAATTCCTGAAGGGAAAACTGCAGATACAAAGAAGGGAAAAATGACTGCTGTGTTGTCTTGAAGGTTGAAAGTGGATGGGTAAGAAATTCCAGTTGGAGGGTCTGGCGTATTATAAAGGATGCGGCTGTGATACAGCTGTGAGGAATCCTATCTGGCTGGAGTATGGGTGACTGCCCACATGGGAGGGGGGCTGGAGAAGTAAATAGAAAGACATGAAAAGGAGTCCGGATATACTTCTTAGGCAACAAGAAACCAGCAGGAATTCAAGGAACTGGTGTTCCAGGTTCAGGTTTGTTTTAGGAATCACTTTCTCTGGCAGAAGTGTGAAGGAGAATGAAGGACCACAGACTGATCAACCATTCAAGTGAGAGGTGATCAAGGCCAATCTAAGGAAGTAACTGGGAGTAAAGAAAGAAATGGCTTAATTCAAGAGCTGTTTCTGAGGTGGAAACCAGTGTTTTTGACCAGAGGTGGGTTACCCAATAAGCAACGTAAACACAGGCTTACCTGTGCTTACCTACTAATCTGTAGTGAAGAGATTCACACGAGTTGACTACAGATTAGTAAGTAAGCACAAGTAAACCCATGCTTACCTTGCTTACTGGGTACTTCCATTTCTGTAAGCAAATTTTAAATTTGAAAAGAGGCTTTGATTCTATAGGAAGGAGCTGTGGGTCTGGGAGAGAGATAGATGCCAGCCATACCTAGAAGCAGAATCTTTGATGTGAAAACATGTGAAATTGTTCACTAAAGATTAGCAAATAAGCACAAGTAAGCCTATGCTTACCTTGTTTATTGAGTGATCAGACACTGTGACCATTATGATGCCAGGTGGGCAAAATAAAGCACTCAAGAAAAATGCAAGAGTTTCTGCTCTGAGCACCTATATTGGGTGGTGAGTTCATTAACCATGTGCACTAAGTCTGGTTAGGTATGGGAAGGTTGTGGGATGGGTGAGAAGGAGATCAGCTTGAAGTAGGTTATATTTGAGAAGGTTCCAGACACTCAGTAGTGGAATCTAGAGCACTACCTTCCACTGTACAGTGGTCCATAGGTGAGTCACAAAAGGGTGACCAGTATGGCAGATATCAATGCCCTTAGTGCAGGCATCGAGGTGGGATCTGGGCTAATGGGAGCAACTAGGCCAGCCCTCTCTGGGTAACATAGTCCATACATTCAACACGTACACATGTTGATGTGTGCACACACGCACACACCCCATGTACCATAACAATGTCATCTGGAACAAACAGAATAGAAACTCCTAAAACTTTCTTGATCTCTTCTCATCACCCACCCACACTAAACATACAAGGAGTAACAGATCCCTGAAATACAGCCTGAAATCCCTCGGTACTCTAAATTGATGTTCCTTGTTTTATGTAGATAAGGGGACCAAGGACAGAATCTCTGCAGTGCTATCAGGGAAGGAACGATGGATAAGAGAGAGGAATGATGGTCAGAAAGATCAAAATTCAAGGAAGCCAGGTCACCAGTGTCAAGCTAAAGAGGAGTCAGGCAGAACTGGGATCCACACAAGCCCATATGTGTGTGTGATACACGTTCACTTGTTGAGGATGATCTCTGCTTCTGATACTCCACATGGAGGATCATAATAAATCACATGTAGCAATCACATTACACCACATTAAGCTGCTCACTGCATAGTTGGTCTCTTTCTCTAATCCCCCACTCTTGACCCAACTCCTCCCAGAGTGCCTACCGAGTCTTCACCAGTAGCACCTGCTTGAAGCACATGATTCTGAAAGTCCGGCGGGATGCCCGCAACTTTGAACGCTATCAGCACAACCGAGATCTGGTGAATTTCATCAACATGTTCGCAGACACCCGGCTGGAATTGCCCCGGGGCTGGGAGATCAAAACGGACCAACAGGGAAAGGTGAGTGAGATTGGTATGTGGGACTTTCATCATTGAAGGAGAAGACAAGTGAGAAAGTGAGGAAGAATGAGGTGGAGAGAGGAAAGTCAGTGTGTCTCAGAGATGTGTTGCTGGTTACCAGGAGGAAAACCAAAACATCCAAACTGATTGCCATCAAGTCGATTCTGATTCATGGCAACCCTTCCATGGAGAAGAAGTTGAACTTATAGAGTAGAACTGCTGCATATATTCAGGTCACCAGCAGAATGAGAGCCATTAATTATCAACATCAGAGTTCTCACCTCCAGCACTATTGTTGGTGGCATTGTCCAGTGCGTTGTAAGATGTTTGACAGCATTCCTGGCCTCTGTCTACTGTAAGATGTTAGTAACATCTCCTCCAGTGGTGATGACCAATACTATCTCCACACTTGACAAATGCCCTGTGGTGAGAGGAGGAAGGCAAAATCATCTCGAGAGGAAAATTTTTTTAATTCTCTACATTTTTTAAAATTTACGTCTGGAACGTGACACCAAATTCTGTTCCATGACCTCTCTGTCATTTTTCCTCCTTACCTCTCAGGGAATGATATTATTAGGTAAATGAGAGTGATGTTATTAGATTCCTGGTTGTGATTTCTCTAATAAGCCTTCAGTTCTCATTAAAACCACCTGGCAAACAGCGACAGGGTGTCTTGGCCCTGGGCTATGTTACAGACTCACATGTGGCCTTTTTACGATCCTAACCGAAACCAACTCCACAGCAATGTTTTAGAAACCTAGTTGAATATACTAAAGTGAGGATTTTTTTCCTTAATTATCAATTATCTCAACATATTTATAACACAAGCCAAACAATTTACTGAAGTAAATTGGGTAATCTTTTATGGAGTCCTAGATGGTGCAAATGGTAAAGTGCTCAGCTACTAACCAGAAGACTGACGGTTTACATCCACCCAGAGGCTCCTCAAGAGAGGAAACGCCTAGAGGCCTATTTCTAAAAGATCACAGCCATTGAAAACCCTGTGGAGCACACTTCTGCTCTGAAGCACGTGGGATCACCATGAGTTGGAATCTTCTGAACAGCAACTGATTTAGTGTTGGTTTCATCTTTTATGACCTTTGGTTGAGAGCATCCCTCTCTCTTTCATGGTAAAAGGAATTAGGAACTTTGCCCACAGAAAGGTCTTTGGATATGAAGGCTGCATTAGCCCAACTCTTCTTTCCTCTGTGGTTTTGAACATGCAAAGCCACAGCTGTGTACGTCAGTTCCTTAAAGGGAGGTGATGGGGCAACACTGTCCTCTAGAAGCCATGAGTACTTCTCATAAATCCCTTCATATGTTGCAGACTTGAATTCTCTGCAGTATGTGTGAAAGAAATATGCCCCTAATACAAATCAGCTGAGAGAGGGACAGCCCAAATCAAGTCCTGACAGTAAGGAGAAGATGCACAGCCTGGATATACGACCAAAACCCCACTGCCATTGAGTCAATTCTGACTCATAATGACCCCCGTTGGGTTTCTGAGGTGTTAAATCTTTACAGAAATAAATTGTCCAGTCTTGCTTCCTCAAAGTGGCTGGTGGGTTTGAACCACCAACCTTCTGGTAAGCAGTCAGATGCCTTAGGAACTATGCCTCCAGAGCTCCTTAATACAAATCAGCTAGTAAAACTCATCTCTACAACCAACACCTGTGTAATAGGATATGAACTGGGCATGGCTAAGTAGAAAAGCCAAACTAACCAGAATCTGTCCCTTGGGACCTTCTCATTTACTGGGAAAGGTTGTGGCAATGAGTACGTCATTTTACACCACTAGGTGTCAATGTCCTCATTTAAAAAAAAAGAGGGAAGATGACAGTGACTTGTATTGTGAGGACTTGGTAATAAAATCCTTGGTCTGTATATTAGGGTGGGAAACAGAAAGCAAAGGAACATCAAAGCTAGGCAGCACCTACCTTGTATCCATGGTCTGAGCAAGGAGCCTTGTTTAGATTTATTGCTTAGCCAAGATACCAACAAGATACCACTTTGAATCAAGGAGCATTCCAACTCACGGTGACCCCATTTGTGTCAGAGTAGAACTGTGTTCCGTAGTGTTTTCAAATGGCTAATGTTTCAGAGGTAGATTGCCAAGCCTTTCTTCTGATGCACCACAAGGTAGAGTTGAACCTTCAATCTTTCTGTTAGCTCAGGCCACTTATGTATAAGCGAAAACCTCATGGAATTTGACTTCTTGGTTTAGAAGTTTAGGGTTATAGTGTCATGGACCATCATTTTTAATTGGCCTAATAACATGTTTAGGAGCTCTGGTAGCATAGTGCCTAAGGCACTTGACTGCTAACCAGAAGGCTGGTGGTTCAAACGCCCCAGCCACTCCTCGGAAGGAAGGTTGGGCAATCTACTTTGTAGTGATACTGCCTCGGAAACCCAAGGAGGGGTCACTATGAGCCAGGTCTGACTCAACGGCACATAACAATAACATGTTTAGTGCTTCTGTTCTACCTCCCAGTTCATTGTATGATGTCTGAAGTCTTAAAAGCTCTCAGTCATTCAAGGTACAATAATTGGTCTCTATTCACGTAGAACAACAGAGTAAGAAGAAGAATCAAGAAAAGGAGGAGGAGGAAATGGAATATGTGGCTTATTGCCTCCATGAAAAACTGCTTCTTTTGCTATGAGACCAAAAGAACTGGCTGGTGCCCAGCTACCATTACTGAGACTGAGAGAGACTGCCAGCTGAGAGAGACTGAGGACATTCCTGAACTTGAATTGTAGCCTGTTGCTTCTCTAATAAACACCACAATCTGCGAATTCCGTGTAGTCACTGCAGTGAATTAATGAGCCCAGCAGAGAGGTAGTGGGTGCACTTTTGGGGAACATTTTGATCAAGGGTTCCATAAAAGAATCATGATAAAAAATGGGGAAATACAGAACAGAATTTCAAATTATTATGGGCTCCCGACTTCCTGGAGTTGTGAAGTTTGGATGAACCTCGGAAATTATTGCCCCAAGATAATCTTTAAACCAAAAATATCCCATAAATTCTTCTTAAAACCAGTAGTTTAGATTAACTAGTAAAAAATGTCTGCCTTGAACATTATGCTCTTTTATGAACTATCTGTATGGGATTACTAAAGGGGCAGGGAGGCAGCATCTTCTGACCTCCTCTAACTCCACAAGAGGAAGACAGAATCACCATCAGCAGATCAAGGCCTGTTTTCATGAGGCCAGACATGCTGCCACTTTCCAGCCCTCTTACCAGCCTTGACACCAATCATCCCTCCCCCGGCACCCACTACCTCTCTGCTGGGCTCATTAATTCACTGCAGTGACCACACAGAATTCGCAGATTGTGGTGTTTATTAGAGAAGCAACAGGCTACAATTCAAGTTCAGGAATGTCCTCAGTCTCTCTCAGCTGGCAGTCTCTCTCAGTCTCTCTCTCAGGAGCACATCTCCCTCAGCAGCACATCTCTTTCAGAAGCGTGTCTCTCTCAGCCAGCAGTCAGAGATTCTTTTCTGCCCCTAGGAGGGCTCATTTTAAGCCTGGCGGAGAGGCAAAACTAACCAATCCCAATATCAGAATTCTACACACCTGAGAGAGGTGAACTTCTCAGAACATTACTTCATGCTGCTCCAACAGAAATACCCCAGGTGGATAACTTTAACAATCAGGAGTTTAAATTGCATAGTCCCACCCAGTAATCCAGTGGGAGTTACAAAGATTATGTCTAGAAAAGCCATACCATGTAATTTACTACACCATAGGGATCAAACTAACAAGAGCAACTTGAAAGATTAGATAGGAACATTAGGGAGCACTGAATTTATGTTATCAGAGAGGAACAACTCAGGAAAGGAAGGTAAGAATGGTTGCACAACTCAAAGAATGTAATCAGTGTCACTAAATGGTACACATAGAAACTGTTGGTCTGGTGTGTGTTTTAATGTGCAAATTCTCAAGAACAATAAAATAAATATATATGTATTTTAAGTCACCTGTATGAGATCAAATGCTCAATAATTACTCTAAAGCAAAGATGAAATGGTGAGGGGACAGGGAAACCAGATTACTGGAAGTGAAACATCCAGAATAGAATGAATGAGAAGGCTGACACATTGTAAAGAATGTAACTAATGTCCCTGAAAAATTAATATAATAATTGTTAAATGAGAACTGAATTTCTTATGTAAACTTTCACCAAAAACACAATAAAATATTTTTAAAAGAAAAAAATTTTAAGAAGAAAGCTGGCAGAAAACTTTTTGAAAAGTTGTAAGATCGTAATGAAAAGCAAAATGTAATAATAACAAAGGGATAAAACAGAACAGAACAAAACTGATGCTACATAAAATCAAATCACAATATTAGATATAAATGTGGAAATGGCCACCAAAGCAGAAGGAAGGGATCAAATTTCAATCAGTGAAGAAGGTAAAAAAATGAAAAAAGGAAAATAATTATCTGTGTGTGGTTTCATATGTATGTACATATACATACATGTGTATGGGTATATGTATATATGTGTGTGTATAAATATATCTATAAGTATGTACATGTATCTGTGTTTATATGTGTGCACTCATTGTGCAGTGGTTGAAGCACTCACCGGTTAATGGAAAGGTTAACTGTACGAACCTAGAGCTGTTCCGTAAGAAAAAGATGTAGCAATCTGCTTTCATAAAAGAGTTACAGCCTTGGAAGGCCTATGGGGCACTTCTACTCTGTTTTATGGGATCTTTTTGAGTTGAAATCAACTCAACAGTAGTGGGTATAGTGGGTATGTGTATATGTATATACAGGTTTGTGTGTGCATGCTTATATATTTATATATAATAAACCCCCTAGTGGCACAGTGCTGGATACTTCTTAGACACAATCAAACACTTTGCAAGCTTGATCTGGATTGAGGGCTTCGGACCATAGTCTCATGGGACAACTCTCAATTGGCATAATATAATTTATAAAGTTTATGTTCTACATGCTAGTTTTCTGAGTTGTGTCTTTCAGTCTTAAAAGCTTGCAAGTAGCCATATAATTTACAACTATTGATCTCTACCCATCTGGAGTGAAAGAAAGAAGGAAACCAAAGACTCAGAGAAGAAAAGAAATGAGACTACAAGACTAATAAAAAACCCACTGTCATCAAGTCAACTCCAACTTAAAGTAACCCTTAAGACAGAGTAGAACTGTTCCATAAGGTTTCTAAGGCTGTAAATCTTTATGGAAGAAGAGAAGACTATCTTATCTCTCTCCTGTGGAACATTTGTTGGGTTCGAACTGCAGACTTTTTGGTTAACAGCAATATGCTTTAACCACTACACCACCAGAACCCCCACAGGACTGATAGTCTACATGAATCATGGCCTATCTACCCTTGGACCAGAAGAACTAGATGGTGTACAACTTCCACTACCTGCTGCTCTGATTAGGGCCACAATAGATGGATACGGATAGAAGAAGAGGAAAATGTGAAGCAGAACTCAAATTCTTATAAAGTCCAGACCAGTTGAGACTAGAGCACTACCCCAGAATATTACCCTGAGACACACATTAAACCTTGAGCCAAAACTAGCTATTGAGATTACACTTTAGTTAAATAATAGAATGGATCATAAAATAAACAAAACAGTACCGGGATCCTTTAAAAAATCACCTATACAAGCTCAAATGGTCAACAATTACCCTAAAGCAAAAATGAGAAAGTAAGAGGTCAGGGAAACTTAATTATTAGATATAGAACAATCAGAACAAAATTAATGAGAATTTTAACACATTGTAAAAGATATAACCAATATACTAAGTAATTTGTGTAGAAATTGTTATATAGGAAACTAGTCTCCCATGCAAACTCTCACTGAAAACACAGTATGTTGTTGTTGTTGTTGTTATGTGCGCTTGAGTCGGACCCGACTCATAGCGAGCCCTCCTTGGGTTTCCGAGGCAGTATCACTACGGAAGTAGATTGCCTCATCTTCCTTCTGAGGAGTAGCTAGTGGGTTTGAACCGCCAGTCTCTGGTTAGCAGTCAAGTGCCTTAGGCACTATGCTACCAGAGCTCCCCAAAACACAATATAGTATTATTTAAAAAAAATAATAATAATAATAATTTTACCTTATCAATGGGGCCTACCCTAACCACTCAAGTTAATACCAAAACTTTCCCCACTAGTTTACATATTTATTATGTTTACTATTTGTTGTCTGTTTCTTCCTGCAGAATTTTATGCTTCTTAAGAGCAGAGATCTTTGTTTTGCTCACTGATGAAACCTCAGAACCAAAAAACAAAACCAAACTCCGTGCCATGGAGTCGATTCAACTTATAATGACCCTCCTTGGATTACCGAGGTGGTATCGGTATGGAAGTACATTGCCCAATCTACCTTCCAAGGAGTGGCTGGTGGGTTTGAACTGCCAGCCTTCTGGTTAGCAGTCAAATGCTTTAGGCACTATGCCACCAGAGGTCCACTAGGAAGCCTAGGGTGGATATTTAAATCAATTAATTACATAAATATCATTAATAGCTATTGAAATGCTTTAAAAATATTCTTAACCTGAATAAGGTATGGAAAATATGTATAATAAAAGTGAAATACTGTATGATAATAATCAGGGTCAATACACCCAGACTAGACTAAAAAAGACTAGGAAGCAGGAAGAGAGAAAGCAGCAGGGGAGAAAAATGCTGTGCTAAATTCTTAGCTGAATGCTGCTGTGTACTGTCAAATCATAAGGTGAGTGAAATTAAAGAATTGGAAAAATAAAGGCTAACTATAATTATTTGACAAATTTAAAGGCAACCATTTGTACCATTTGAAACAGGACTTTTTCAAATCCCTTAGAAAAAACATCAAATCAAAGAAAATAGAGTTCTCATAACAAAGTGCAGAAAAAAAATCCACAAGGAAATAAAGAAAATAGAAATGTTAAAAACAAGATAACAAAAGTAAAGCCAAACATAACAGTATGGCAATAGGTCGAAATAGGATTAACTTACACATCAAAAAGAAAACACTTTCAGATTAGTAACAAACAAATCCAGTTTATAAATAGACATACCTAAAATACAATTCGGAGAGCTCTGGTAGCATAGTGTCTAAGGCACTTGACTGCTAACCAGAAGGCTGGCGGTTCAAACCCACCAGCCACTCCTCGGAAGGAAGATGGGGCAATCTACTTCTGTAGTGATACCACCTCGGAAACCCAAGGAGGGGTCGCTATGAGTCAGGTCCGACTTGACGGCACATAACAACAACAACAACATACAATTCAGAAAGTTTTAAAAAAAGGATTGAAATTAATACAGTGTGAAAATAACAAAAATTAATGGTGGTGCATTAGTATCCTACACAGGAGAGTTCACATCCAACACGAAATGGGGTCAAAGAAAGCTTTTATACTAATCAATGCCACAATTAAAATGAAGATTGAATAATCATATGCATTATGAACCAAATAATACTACCATATGATATTATATATTAAAAGATCAAACAGAAGTATGAAGGGAAAGAAATGCAATCATAGCTGGTAAATGAGTTTAACATTCTGACAGTTTGACAAAATAAATAGCCAAAATAAGTCAGGATTTGAATAATATAATTTTGAGTTAATGGAAAACCAGTTGCCATCAAGTCAATTCCAATTCATGGTGTACCTGGTTGGCACAAACAGTTAAGGGCTTGGCTGCTATCCTAAAGGTTGGAGGTTTAAGTCTACCTAGAGGCACTTCAGAAAAAAGGCCTGGCAATCTACTTCTGAGAACCCAGGCATTGAAAATTCAATGGTGCACACAGTTCTGCTCTAATACATGTATAAGGTCACCATGAGTCAGAATAAATTCAAGGGCAACTGTTTATTAGTAGTATTTTATTTTATATTTAAAGACTAACTTTTGTCATGTATTTGAGCATATAGAGTAATCAGTCATACAAGTATGAGACTGTTTATTGAAGTATCATTTTAAAGCAGTACAAAGTCCACAATGTCTGATAATAGAGTACCAAAATTAATTATGTATCCATTCAAACTGAATACCATATATTCATTAAAATTTGGTGCTAAAATAATATTTACTAAATTAGAGAAATATTCATAAAGTAATAAGTGAAAATATAGATTTATAAAACTATAGATTTGGAAGTGAGAGGAAATATGTATATATCTGTACACATGTATGAACCAAAAAACAAACTAACTGTTGTTGAGTCGGATCCAACTCATAGCGTCCCCTCCCTGGGTTTCCAAGGTGGTATCACTACAGAAGTAGATTGCCCAATCTTGAAAGAAAAATATAGAAAAAAACTGACCAAAATATTTAGTGATTATCTTTAGGTTGTGATATTTAGGGTGATCATGGTTTTCTTCTTCCCACTTATTTTTATCCATTTAAATTTCTTTCTTAATGAGAATATGCTAATTCTATAATCAAGAAAAACCAATTTATTTTAAAACTGGATAAAATGTTCTACAAATTATTAATAACTATTATTATTAATAACCCACCAGCCACTCCTCGGAAGGAAGGTTGGGCAATCCTACTTCCGTAGGGATACTGCCTCGGAAACCCAAGGAGGGGTCGCTATGAGTCAGGGCCGACTCAACGGCACATAACAACAACAACAACATTATTATTATACTCCATCAAAGGTTCTATTTATTTTGTGTTCCATGTTAAAGTATTATAATCACTACACTATAAATTTCACAAAGAGTGTAAAACCAAGAAAAGCAAACTCACTGCCATTGAGTATTTCTGACTCATAACAACCCTCATGAAGTTCCCAAGGCTGTAAATCTTTACAGAAACAGACTGCCTCATCTTTTTTCTGCAGAGCCACTGGTGGGTTCAAACCATTGACCTTTTGGTTAACAGTCAAATGCCTTAACCATTACACCACCAGAACTCCTTACAAACAGTGTAAAGTATTTGTCAATGAGTTAAATTGTTTTTTTCAACTGCTAAGAAAACAGAAGGACCATATCTAGTCTCCCATCTAACTAGATAAGTTTTGAATAGGCAAAAGATGTGTAGGGGAAAAGGGGGGAGAAGGAAGAGAAATAAATGTGATGACTGAGCCTATAGTGCTCCCTTATGTTACTAAGTTCATTAGGACTCATTCTCATGCAGTATCTTTTTCTGCAGTCTTTTTTTGTGGACCACAACAGTCGAGCTACCACGTTCATTGACCCCCGAATCCCTCTTCAGAATGGTCGTCTTCCCAATCATCTGACCCATCGACAGCACCTCCAGAGGCTCCGAAGTTACAGTGCTGGAGAGGTAATACCCATTTCCCACCCCTGTCAGTCCTACTGGCTCCTACAGTAGCCCAATTGCTTCCTCTCCTTGTGGCTGGACTCTAGTGCTTCCTCTTTCTTAGTGGCTGAACTCTAGTGCTGCCTGCTTATCAAAGTAATAAACTCTTACATATTGCTCTGTAAAGAAGAATGAATGACAACTCCTGGGATACCCAATTAACTCCCTACACCTATCTTCAAATTATCTTCCTTCTTTCTTCCCTTTTTTGTCAACATAATCACCACTACTAAAAATCTATCTAAACAAAACAAAAAATGCAATGTCAGCAGATCCCCAAGCTTATGGCTGGCATTGACTTTCTGAATTACTGTATACATGTCCCATGCCCTTTTCTGTCTTCCTTTTTCAAACAAAAACTCAAAATACAGCTCTTTTCCACTTCTGATCAGTTCCTTACAATACTATTAACAAATCCATTTGAATGTCCTAAGGAGCTCTGGTGGTACAATGCCTAAAGCATCTGACTGCTGACCAGATGGTTGGCCATTCAAACCCACCAGCCGCTCCATAGAAGGAAAATGGGGCAATTTGCTTCCATAAAGTTTTATCACCTCAGAAACCCAATGGGGGGTCGCTATGAGTTGGAATCAACTCAGTGGCAGTGAGCTTAGTGTTTTGGGTTTGGGGAGTCCTAATTGACACTTCCCAAGTATCTATACTTTCTTTTCATGGAAACCATCAGGAAGGAGATGTGGGCCCTGAGAACAATTTCCCAAAAACACAGTTTGTAGAATTGGGTTTTCATGAAGTAAAAAGAATGGAAAAAAAAAAAAAAAAAA